GATATTTAGGAGAATTAAATTTACATGCGTATGACTTAAAGAGTTGCCACCGGTCTGAAAATTAAAATGAATTAAATTAGTAGGGCTACTAAAACTTATAGTTATGGCTACTAAACTAAAAAGTGTTTGGGAAAAATTTATGTAAACATATTTTATAAAGTTGCCACCCGTTATAAAATTATTAAAACTAGAGTGGCAGTTACTGTCGAAATTCGACAGTTTTTCTAGTTTTAGAAGCCTTGGAGAGGTTTTCTAACTTAACACGTAGCAAAACTTATACGGTACAAAATAACTAACCGGAAAATCTTCTGGCTCGATAAATTTCGGTAACTCAAAAATGTAAAAACTTTGGATACCTTTATGAATTTTTACTTTTGACATCTCCACATTTTTCGAAAACTATCTAAACATTTTGATAACTCGTTACACTCTGTTAAGACGATTAAATGCGATATGCAGTGATAAATCGATAAGCTTATATAACCTTGAAATTTCGATAAATCGATATATTTTGAAAATTCCATAAACTTCGCTTCGTTGAACCAACCAATTTCAGTAGATCAATAATTATCGATAACTCTGTAAGTTGAAAGAACTCCATGCATTACGACACCTCGATATATTTCGTTAAGTCTATAAATGATGATAATTCAATAAATATCGATAACTCGATACATTTCTTTAACTTGACAAATTTCGTTAATCCCACACGTTTTTATAGCTCGATAACTATCCGTAAATTTGGACAACTAAGTTTCTGTGTCTATACATTTCGACAACTCAGTTAACATTGATCAGTTTGAATAATTCAATACGGTGCGATAACTTAATAAGCATGGATAAATTTCGATAATTATAAATTTCGATGATTCGGTAAATTTCAGTAACCTTTATGGGTGATTTTATTTCGATTCCTATCGGAAAATTTCAGCTCTTTTAACCTAATTCTAATGTATTTCTCATTGTCTCCATTTTCGCCTTTATCTCAATTTTCGTCTTTATCTTCACTTTTGCCTTTTTTTTTTTGTCTTCATCGTTATCACTTGTTTCTTCATCTTCATATTTATCTTTATTTCAAAGTTTAATTTCAAATACGAAGTAAAACAAAATGCGAAACGCTTGAATTGAACAGGTTGCAAAACAACCATTAACAAATATGGAAATTTTTAAACGACGATTTTCAACCTGTACACAATTCGAAAATGTTTAAACGACGATTTTGGCCGTAATTTTCAACCAATTGTGAAACCCTTAACAACTCTGCATCTCTCATCTACAGAAAAATGTCTTTCCAACGGTGTTCTTGGTTTTGAAATCGGTGCGGTAGAATCGCCAAACGAACGGAGTCAAAATTTATGTTAGCGTATTAATATATAGATATTAAAAAAACGTTAGAAAATCGGAATAGAAAAATGCTAACAGAGTTGCCACCCATTTTAAAATTAAAATGAATAAATGAATTTTTTCATGAAAAATAGAAATAATTTTATAAATGAAATAATTTCGTTACATGCATGTAGCCATGTAACTCAACTACAGCTCAATCAAGTTAGCGGCATTGAAATGAAAAAACTAAGATAAAAAGATTCTTATTATTGTGCTCATTGTGTGTTATTTTCGGCCACTTTCCGTGTTTTTTTTGGGCTCCGACCATTTGGTAAATCATTAATACTTTGCTAAGTTAGCCGTAACTAGATATATATATTTTTTTTAATTTCATTTACTAAAAATTTGTTTTCAAAAAGGTTATACTATATACGTCGCGTAAAAGGTATTTAAATTATCTCTAAATAACCATCAATACGTTTGTGATCGGTCAAATAGTTTCCGAGATATTATAAATAATAAAAAAAATATAAAAGTTTAACTTTAACCTCTTTTATGGGCTTTAGGTTTATTTGCGCCAAATAATCTTGGTATGGTTGAAATCAACAAGAAAAGTTCTATTTAGCTACGCTTAGGCCCTAAAAAGCCCCCAAATATCACCTAATTCCTCAGCAATATTTATCCGTGTTCGACCAAAGTTTATAAAGTTGGTCGGCTACCGGGCCGTTAAGCGATTTTTCAATGTTTATTGGGCAATATTTTTTAGCGATTTTTCAATATTCAACGGGCAATATTTGCAAAGCACATAATAAGCCCAAAATAATAAACCCAGATAAGCAGTAAAAAGTCTTCACTGGATGGAGGTTCTGCTAAGTTACAGTTAACCCAGCAAAGTCTTAATTATCTCGGAAACAGGATGGGCTCCCATAATTATTTTGGTGACTCGAAAAAACCCAAAAATAGCACGTAATTCCTCAATAATATTTATCCGTGTTCGACCAAAGTTTAAGAAGTGGGCCAGATAGCGTGGCGCCAAGCGGGCTTTCAATGTTTACAGGGCAATATTTTTTCCATTAGGTGGACCAGGAACCGATCTGTTCGAAAAAATCGTATTTATGGTTAGCTTTGCTTAAAATTTGGTACGTAGGTAGCTTTTTTAGCCTAGATTAGCATACATGATTCTTTTTTTCCAGGAAGTGGACCAGGAATCGATCCAATCGAAGAAATCGTATTTATGGTCCGATTTGCTTAAAATTTTGTACGTAGTACAGTGGTCGGAGAAGCCATGTTTTACGCGAAAAATTAAAGGGCACTTACGATTATAATAAAGCTGCGGGATCGTAGTATTGTTGTAATGCTAAATCCGAATATGCCATAAAATTTTTAGTTTGACGGTTGAGAGCTGTCAAATTAACTGCCAATTTCTCTAATGTTAAAAAATCTTTATGAAAATACCACCGATTACGTTTTTTGACATGCTGACCACGAATTTTATGTCAAATTAACACCCTGACAGTTTACAACTGTCAAATGAACTATGCATTTTTCTAAAAATAAGACAATCTTTTTCAAAATACCACTGAGTAGGTTTTAAGACATGCTAATCACGAATTGCGTGTCAAATTAATTGCTTAAGAATTTATCACTGTCGAAGGGACTGTCAATTTCAATAAAAATAAGGAAAATTCCCCAAGAATTAAACGTACTATATTTTGAGGCTCACTGATCTCGAGTTATGTATCACATTCAAATTTTGTTTGGTATTGACAACTGTCAAATCAACTGTCATTTTCAGTTGAGTAACAAGAAATGTTTGTTTAGCAAAAGTTTATGTATTTATTACATACATATATACGAGGAAACATATCTAAAATGAATTAATGATACAATTATGAAATAATAACAGTAATTATATTTATAAATTAGGGATAGTTAGGGCCGTCTGCTATATGTTCAGCCCAAACAATTTGATCTAGGCCCCAACAGTTTATTTTTTAATTTTTTTATTTTATTCGAAATTCGTAATTACCCAAACTTCAGCTTTTTCATTTTTAAATAAAGTTCTTCAGGTTTGAATTTTGAATTTTCCAAAACTAGTTTGAAATTTGCAATGAGCGAACTTAAGAACTTAAGATTACATGAAAATTCAGTAATTTTTTTAATTCTTGGACGCCATATTGGATTCTTTATTATTATTATTATTTAAAAATTTACTTCAGCTTTGGTAAGACACATCTTATAAATGATATGATGCTAAATATAAAACAAATTATATTCATTTTTAATATTTTAATACACTTTATGTTACGCAAAAGGACCTTCGCTCTAGTTTTTAGTAAAGGAATTAATTTTTGAAGAAAATATTTCTTGAAAAATAAGTCGTTTTATCAAGGTGTTGATAATTTAGCAACCAAGATTTACTATGTAATATTTCATATGAAATCATTATTTTCTATATTTAAGAAATAAGACCAAACTAGCAATTGCTGTTATAATTGAAAGTTTTCATAAAAAAAATTTAAGAAAGCAATCAACTCATAACTGTTACATTTCTAAATAAGGATAGCTTTATTCCGGTTAATTTATCACAGCTTTAAAATATGCCTTTTTCGCGTAAAACATGGTTCCTCCGACCATTACAATTTATGATTATTTTTTCCCGTGAAAGGCGAAAAAAATATATATTTAATACTTGCGCCGGGTATTTAATGTTCGGCTCCGCCCGAACTTAGACTTTCTCACTTGTTTTAAATAGGCTTTTTTGGTTGTAGTAACCGCATATTTCTGGAAGCATTTGTGGTTGAGTACTGGAACTAGGTGTAAACGTTTTGAAATCAATCCCATACTCTTGGAGAAAAGTGGGGCCAATTGGTAGAGAGGGCGTGGCGCCTTCCAAACATACTGAAACTTTTACCTATCCATAAATAAATATATAATTTTTCGGTACGTGTGTTTTCGAGTGAACTCCTCCTAACCGACCGAAATTAATTTTATGAAATTTTTGTCCTAATGTCGCCGTATAGTTTAGGTTCACAACTTAAAACGCCAAGTGGCGCTGGAGTCGAGTTATAACTTAAGATCGTATTTATGGTCCGATTTGCCTCATAAACAAGATGTACATATGTATATTGGTAACGGTAGGGGCAATACTATTAAAAAAAAAAGCCGCATGGGGGCATTCGGAGATATCAGGCGTCAAAGTACTCAAGTTACCACCGTTAAATCGACCACAATAACCATTGAGGTCCTTGCTTTGCGGCGACTAAACAAAATAAAGACAATTCTTGATGAATGCCTACGAATTCAACCCCAACAACAACAACAAACTGAGCCCCAAAACCCACCCCTTGTGTGCGCTAATGAACCGAACCTGTGATGTATTTGCACATCTGTTTGCAGTATTTTTCAGTTTTTACTTACACGAAAGACTTTTAATTTTCCTTCGCACAATACAACCGTCTTCACTGACCACCGGTACATTAGCTGCTTATGTCCATAGACAATTTTCGTATCAACAGCCACCTTAGCTAACTACTCCTATCTAACTAATACCTGTATACATAATATACATATATACGCACAATTGCCACCGCCATCTATTCATCTGCTGCCCATACTTTTCGAGAATTTTTATGACATTGACATTGGCCGGAAGGCAAGTAAAATGCACTTACACCACACAATGTCCTTGCCCTCTGCCGCGGCAGCTGTATTTTCATTAGCGCCGCTTTTGGCCTGTGCTTGGCCACTATTTTTTACAATTTTGGCCTGTTCCATTGGCATAGTCGGTCATTTGGCCAACAATTTGCGGTTAAACAGTCGCATGGGACTGTTGTCAGCAATTTGTGTTAAACCAGAAGGCGGCAAAAAAGCAGAAGTATCTGTGTGGTGACTCTATTCATATTTGTTGTTTTGAAAGTTTATACGTAAATTATGTGTGTCTCTGGGGGTTATTAGAGTTGTATTTGTCGTATTTGAATGAAGCTAGTTTTGGTTAACCTTTGGTGTGTTTTGTTGATTATTAAGCTATGTGCAGTTAATGCAGACGCCGAAAGTCTATTTTAAGTTACGGAGTTGATTATAAATTCCATGCATAAAATATTTAGCTGCATTTTTAATAAAGCATTAGTTTTGAGTGGATGGGAAGTGCGCTGCACAAATTAAGCAGTTTTGCTACGACAAGGGTAGTCTCCTTAACAAAAAATACATACAAATGAAGACAATATAATAAGACAGTATAATAAAACATGGCTCCCGTATGGAGTGTTTTTTGTGTTTTGGGTCGTATATAAGCGAAGTATGCGTATTTTAATAAGAACAGCTGACTGTTGTCCAGAGAACTGCAAAGCTGTTACGTAGTGTATGTATAGTGGAAATATTCAATTCTGAACACTTTTCACTCGATTTAAATACGAACATTTTTAAACGGTATTCAAATAGATAAAAATTTTTAATTTCTACAACGGGTTTTTTTCTTCAGTATACGATATGATTTATCAAAGTAAATGGTTTGAAAAGGCTTTGTTTCTAAAATGCATGCGGGAAGATTGCCATTTTTTTAAAAAGGTAAATCCTAATTATTTAATAAGTTAAATGAATTATTACAATGGGGTATCAATCTCACACCTGCTCTCAGAGAGCACTCTTCACAAAACCGACATATGCGAGCAGTGGCAAAAAACGTGAGTGCGAAGAGCTTGAAATGCTGACCGACAAGAAGAATGTGCGAAAATTTTACCAGAGAGTTAGCCGACTTACGGAAGGTTTCAATACCAGGGCGTATTTACACATGTAAGAACAACAATGGCGACCTAGTTACCGATGTTCAGAACGTACTTAAATTATGGAGGGAACACTTTTCCACCCTACTGAATGGTAGCAGCACAGAAAGCAGTGGAGAAGAAGAGCTCGAGCCCATAGTCGATGAAGTCGGAGTCGATGTAACACCGTCTGACCATGACGAGGTACGAATAGCAATAACGCGGCTGAAAAACAACAAAGCTGCTGGAGCTGACAGCCAGCCAGCTGAGCTATTCAAGTACGGCGGCGAGGGGCCCGTTCTGGTATATATCGCAGAAGCATGGACAACGACAACGTCCTATGAGGCGGATCTTGTAGTTTTTGAGAGGAAGACTTTGTGGAAGATTTACGGGCCTTTACGCATTGGCGACAGCGAGTACCGGAGATGATGGAACGATGCGCTGTATTAGAGTTACATCGACCTAGGCATAGTGCAGCGAATTAAAATACAGTGGCTCCGCTGGTAGCAGAGGAAGAGGGACGCCCCCACTGCGATGAAAAGATCAGGTGGAGAAGGACTTAGCTTCACTTGGTGTTTCCAATTGGCGTCAGCTGGCACAGAAGAGAAACGACTGGCGTGCTTTGCTGAACTCGGCCAAAATCGCTTAGGCGGTTACAGAGCTAAATAATAATAAGAAGAAGATGGCCAATGGATTAATAACTGCTCGACAAACTAGTTATTATATCAAACTGAGTTATATATTCATTAGCGCCATGAAATTAAGCAAATTTTTCAAGGAACCGCCCTACCCTACTTTAGACATGACCTGACGACATCTAATCTGTTCGCCAGGTACTACAAATTAGCCTGCAGCTGTTAATGGTATACTATTAGACTGTGGATTTAATTTAACCCACACGCTGGGGTATGTGTTCCTCCAGTAAAACGCAAGGCTTGCTTTTAGAAACCACCAACACAAACACAGATGCACTACTTATAACTAAACAAAGTAAACACATACTCGTATGTATGTAAGTAAACTTTAAAACTGAGAGTAAGAGTAAAACATAAACCCAAAAGAACAAACAGCTGTAAGTATTTTAAAAGTATAAACGTAGGGAACTAAAGGCTCGAACAAACAAGAAAAGAAAGAGAAAGGAAATGCGCCAAATAGAAACAAGTAGAAGGAGGGGATAAGTAGAAAAAGGGAACGAAAAAACTAAAGTGAAAATGAGCGTGGGACTAAAGGATGGCATACATATAGTATATATATATATATATGTACATATCTTATGTAGTTAAATAGCCTAGAAATGTTGTAGGCATTGCAGGAGATGTGGGAAAAGCCACAAGTGGCAACAGGTGCACTCAATAGCAACACACATTGCTTGTTTCTTTATACATATTTAACAAGTACTGTTAGTATTTACATACTTTTATCATTGGCTTACTTGCTTTAAAAGAATAGAATACAAGGGTTTGTACGAAAATGCATGAATGCTTAATCATGTATGTACTTACATACATATGTAGGTACAAGTATGTGAAAAAACGTAATTATTTGCTCGCATACTACTTCATTTTGTATATATGTATGTATGTAAGTAGGTCCATTCAATATCAAAAAATTTTTACGAATTGTAACTAGTACTTGCAAGTTTTTACTGCAAATGTATTCAATAACCCAAAATATTTGCAAGAGAGACCGCATTCGAGAGCGTAACAACCCGAAAGAGCTGCAAATTCTTGCAAGTAAAAATTTTACTAGCAGGAATTTGCATGAGTCAAAAAGTAAGGTTATGTTTCAAATTAAAATGTAAACAAACTGTTTAAGAGGATGATTTGATGAAACATAATTAGTGAAATGAAAATATGGATGAAAAATTTAAATCTCTTGTGTATTTTTTTTTATTTTTATGACGATAGGAACTATTCTCAATTAAAAAACTTAACCGTCAGAAAGTGTCAAAATGGCTTAAGTTCCAAGTTTTTACTAGTTTTGCGTTCAATAACTTTTTCTGAAAATTTTCTCTTGCTCTCAATTTTACTCTTTATTTTTCTTTTACGCTCTCGCTGCAAGTACTTACTGGAAAAGTTATTGAATGGACCTAGCATGTGTATTGGATTGAAACTTTATTCACGTACTTAAACACAAAGGACTTTAGCGAATACAAAGGTATGGATACACGCTCGTGCATACATATGTATGTATGTATGTATGTATGTATGTATGCAAGTTTACGTAACTTTGTATTTTTAAGCATATTTGAATTGGCGCTTAATTTACATTCGTTATTTTCGATTAATAGTATACTTACATATACATACATACATGTATTTATACATGCGGTTTACACAAATGTCGCATTTGAAGGATATCGAAAAAAATATTTCAAAAGGCGACAGACACCTCTTTTGAACGATAAGCAGTACTTGAAAGATTACTTATTGGTTTACGCAAGCATCTCATTGCTTTCAATCAACCTCTTTATGAAACAAATCAAGCGTAAGTCCTTAGCATTAAAAAAAAAATAAAATCTGAAAATATTGCGCAGCTGTGCTATTAAGAAAGAAATTACTCGAATGAAAAATAAGTTCTGTGGAAGAGACAAACCGTGTCTACCGCGAAAATTTCCGAGCATTTTTCAAACGCCATCAGTCGCTGCGGAGAGATTAACTTAAGCAGCTCTCAGGGCTCTCGTATGCTTTAGGATAAATCATTATTGACTCTTCGGGTGCATGGAGCACATCTACGACCCTGCTGGAAACAATAGCATCCATTGTGAGCGAGTTTGGCGTAGTTCAACAAAGCATGCCAGTCGTTTCTCTTATGTGTCAACTTACGCCAATTATAAATGCCAAGTGGAGCCAAGTTATTCTCCAATTGGTCTTTCCATGCCAGTGGGGGCCTGCCTCTTGATCTGCTAAAACCAGCGGGTTCCAAGTTGAATACTTTCAGAGCTGGAGCGTCGGAATGGACAATTCGTACGACACGGCCAAGCTAGCGGAGCCGCTGTATTTTAATTCGCTGCACTATATCGTTATAACTCTAATACCGCTCATCGTTCCATCATCTCCGTTACTCGCCGTCGCTAATGCGTAAACGCGCGTAAATCTTCCACAAAGTCTTTCTCTCGAAAACTACAAGAGCCGCCTCATAGGACGTTGTCATTATCCATGCTTCTGCGATATATACCAGCACGCGCATGATGAGTGACTTATAGAGAGTGGTTTTTATACTTCAAGAGAGGACTTTACTTCTGAATTGCCTACTCGTTCCAAGGTAGCACTTGTTGGCAAGAGTGATTCTGCGTTGGATTTCCATGCTTACATTATTATCGGTGCTGGTTCCAAAGTAAGGGGCGAATGCGCTGACTGTTCTTTTGATTTATTAAGGTCTCCAACAGCAGATTAAAGAAATTACATAAAAAACTCTATTTGGAAGAAAATGGCTTGCAGAGGTCTTTCACAATTCTAACGGAGCTGTGGAGTTTATTTTTTTAATTTTACACAGCCATAACAGTTCCGTGTGGATATCAAATTCAGGCATCGCAGCGTATAGGCAACTCCTTTTAGTGCTGTCGAAGCGGCTTTGAAATCATGGGGCGAGTCATGTTCGTTGCCTGGCGCTGCTATGGACAAAAATAGCAAAATAATTGCGTGGAAATAAATGTTTTGATTACAATTGCTAAGCGAATTTTATGCATATTTAAACCACTTTTCGTTGGCATGATGCGTTTCATGGAATTCATAAAACCTAAGTATTTTACTTCAAAAATTGCTATCCGCCTCTCATTTCGTTTATGTATATGGTAAAACACCGCCGCCCTCAATTCGACGCTGCTTTCTGTGTGTACATTAGGGTGGTCCAGAAAAGTAAAGCCGAAGTTTTAATTCTCTCACACCCTAGGATTGTTTTATATACAAAAAAAATATATCCCTATTCTTTTAATTTGAAATCAAAAACTATTTAGAGTTCGGTCAAAGTTTTCCATGGAAAAAAACTACTACGAAAAACGTAGTTTTTGGTATTTTTCGGAAC